TTCTTTTTAATCCCTACACCATTCCGCCCCCAAAGGTCCCATAAAATTTTCTTTTCAAACCTTAGTGGCCTTTATGGTGGAGACTAGAACCTTAATCGACCGACATTGCCATAATAATTGAAGTAAACATATATAAACACATGGTACATATCCTTGTGTTTCAAGGAGAAGTTGGGGATAATTATTTTAAACCCCGTGAGGTTTGGTCAAACCTTAAAACCCCCTCAAGTACCATAATGATATAAAACCTCCTCTCGTTTGTCAGACGTTAACAGAACTGGCAATTCACATCGCTGCAGAGGTTAAATACCACTTTTACCCTTAACCATAAATATCTACTTATAACAAAGAAAGTGATAAACTATTTTAAACCCCCCAAGGTTTGCCAAAACTTTAAAACCCTTCATTTGTGTGTTATGATCGTTTTACCTTTCATCTAACAACTTTAACGAGATTTAATAATGTCTGATAGATGATAGGGGTTTCGCATCATTACTGGTATTTGAGGGATTTTTTTAGGTTTGACTAAACCTTAGAGGGTTTATGTAATTATCCTAGAGAAGTTGATAAGGCCAATAACATAAAAATGGTGGCAAAAATTGAACACAAAGTGAAGTGAATAGTTTAGCTATAGAGAGTGCATGAACAGCTTTGATTAATTTCATAATATTGTATTAATCAATTAATTGATTAATTATCTCATAAGTTGTCATGTTGGTTCTTCATGCATGAGGCCCGATGAGCTTGAATGATATATGTATGAACTTATAAATTTGTCAGTGTCGGTGAGTCAAAATAGAATTGCTTAAATTTTAAGAAATAGTCAACTCAGTTACATCTACAAGATTAACAACTTGCAATATTATACTGTTGAAGAACGATAATAGAGGCTTGGGTGATGTTAATTAAGATTACTTTGCCAGCATGAATTTGGAGGATTAATTAAAAAAATTAGCAGAGATTGCATGCTTTTAGTTCCGTATTAATTATTTTGTCTTGTCACAACAAGCATTACATTTCAAAGATTTGTATGTTTGAGTAAATTAAGTAATGAGCAATGTTATCCTTATAACTGTATTGTATAACTAAATCATACAAACAGATAAAAAATAAATGATAAAATAGTTATTTTACATAAAATTTGTACAATTTTTATCTGTTTGTATAACTCAATTGTAAATAAAACATTGTTGTTAATTAAAATATAATTTTTATAAGCAATTGTTTAATTTAATCACCTAACTACTGGATAAGTACAAATTATACTAAGTAAGACAAATTAACCTTTTCAATACTTGGTAGTTGGTAGTCTTAAAAAGAAGTAGCTTGATTAAATATTTAAATGTCATTAATTAATTTAACTTGTAAGATATTTAGAAATAATTAATAACAATAAGATTAAGAAAGGAGGCGTGCCAGTTGGTTCCATCAAGGGTGAATCAACATGCCTTGCCGTATATCGTCTTCAATAGAAAATTAATGAGTCTAATTAATTTTTAATTTATAAAAATTAATAAACATTATGATCAAAACTTCCATTACGTGGCTTAATTTCTTCTGTATTATTGATTAATTAATAAAGTTGATATCTCATAGAGTTGACCTTTACATAAAAAATTAATAAAGTTGATATCTCTTTCAATTGAAATATTCTTCCAGCCACCATGCGCCTCCATTGCTCACAAATCTATATATCTACTGGCTCAAAAGTCATATATAATTAATTAATTAGGTGATAACTATTCCTCAGTTAATGCTAATGAACATATGTTTGAGTACATGATTAAGGAAGCTAAATTCAATGTCCCTCACGAAAATTAATGTTGGATTTGAACATATTCAGCCATACATGAAGTCAAAACAAGATAATTAGTTGGCCACTTTCTGAATTTCTTTATTAATTTCGTGCCTCAATTATCGAGGTCAAACTTCAGATAAAATGCAAGACTTGGGAAATTAATTAAATTCATACTTGAGTATGAAGCTTAAATATATAATATCTCCCTAAATAAGAATTGTCCAAGATTTAACTTCATACAATTAGGCTGAAGCAGCGTATCCGCAATTGACTCTTTGATAATATTATTGTCACCAAATACAATAATAAATATAAATTGGATGCTTATATAATTTTGTCTACCATTTAAGGTGGCTACCAAACTTAGTTATTATCTTTATATATTCTTCAATTCAGAAATAATTCAAACTATTAATTATTGAATGTAATATTCATACAATCAAATGTCAATTATATTGAACTTTATTATAAGGTAACGAGTTTTATGATAGATTATCAAACTTTTTACAGGAGTTTTTATAATCAAGTGTGTTTGCCGTTGAGCTAAAAGTTATATTGTTATTGTCGATAATCACAGTTTGTTATTTTCATATATAGATTTTAGGGTTGGGACCCATTGTTGTATTGACAGATATATCATCGGGCTTGATCCTGATTCCCGTTGATAATCAAGACGATATGCGGATTTACGCCAATTTATATCATATTATATACAATATAGTTATTTTCTTTTGAATGTTTTGATAATTTTAAAATCTGAATTTACATTTTCAATGACAAAAATTGCAATAAGAATTTTTTTTTTCTAGAAAATTGATACAAGAAATTGATAAAAATTTAGATATAGGTGTAGGTTTAGTCAAGTTAAGTGTTTCTTGTGTGATCCTAATTAATTTGGCTTTTTTTTTTTTTAACTACCAATAACAGCTTTTATTAGGTTAGCTAAGACCTTTTATTAAAAAATAATGCATGCCCCAATTTTCTTGGGAGGTTTTCCTATTCTCTTTTTCTATACATTTTTCTATGTTATAATGTATAATTATAAGCTTTGAGAGAAGAAAAAAATATCTTTTCATTTTTTTTTTTTTTCATATTGCACGCATTCACTTCCAAACTATTTGGTTAAAAACCATTAAATTATTACAACCAAAACTCGAAAATGTTTATTTTTTTGAAAACAAAATATTTGGTTTGGTTTTAGTTTCAATAATTCAATAAAGTTTTTAGGACGTACATATTTCCCGATACCAAAATAGTAATTTATTATCGATCCTTGATTAAGAACCATTAGAAATTAGATGAACTTCTATTGTAGTATGATACTCATTTAAATAATATATAAAAGCATATAATAATATTATTGAACTGGTGTGGTAACTAAATTAACCCTAGTCTATGAATAAAATTTCTAAACCCACGTAATTATGTGAGGGATTAAGACTTGTGATCATGACGACAATGGTGAAAGCACAATGACCTAATTTTTTTTAAACCATGGAAAATGAAGTCAAATTTGTACCAAGTTTTAGTTCTGTCTCCTTTTTTTTTTTTTTTAATTATTGATTTAATTTTATTTCTATTATTGTATTTGATGACTTCATGTTTTAGTGTAAGTATACAAACCTGATTGGGATTCATAATTGAAAAAAATTCAACTCAGACATCATCATTTAATTTAAATTTTTTAATATCTAATAATAAGCAATTTTAATTTTTAAGGCTTGTGCGTGCACGTTCACGCAAGCAGATAAGAATGAATTATTGTAAATTTATAAAGAAACAATAAACCCAAATAACACCTTAAAAAGTAGGTGATGAATAATATAAATATTTGTATTTAATTTATAAGATATTAGTGGATTTTTTTTTTTTTAATAATCCATAAATTCTCCAACATCGCGGAATCTAATATTTGAGAAATGGGAAAAAATGACTTCTGATTTTATAAATGTCAGCTTCAGACTTTGTGAAAACGAATAAAATGGATATTTGTATTTTAAACACAAATATATTTGAATTATGGATCTTATTATGAGATATTAATTCATATTATCTTGGATATTAAATAAGTTTATTTTAATTAGATATTTTCTTTGAGGAATTTGTCTTTAATTAAAATAGAAAAATAATTTTTTTACATATCTGAGGGGAAAAAGGATTCTAATTAGTCTCCAATACAAATATATCTTATTGAGATATATTTGAGTGTGAATAAAAGATTTAATAGAAAAGGAATTCCTTGGGAGAAAAGAAGACCGGTTGGTTGAAGCTTCTTTTTGCGTGATTTTAAGGCTTCTCTAGGCGTGATTCAATCTACAAGAGGTAATTAATTAAGCTAAATTTAATTTTTATCTAACATCATGAGTTTGGATTCTATTTTTTTGTTAATTTTTAAAGAAGAAAATTATCCGCTGCATATTTTATTACCTTATTTCTAACACACATCACCTTCGTCTACTTCTTTACTTAAATTTTATTAAAAAAATATATATAATTAAAGAATGGTTAAAAGAAAATGAGCATCAAGAGAGAGTAAGTAGACATGTAAAACAAGTCGTATATTACAACTAAAATTCAACTTATATATTATGTTGTAAATTTGGTCGTATGATGTAATGCAATAAATTGTACACTATAAATGTGATATATTGATTAGCATATTTCAATCATTGAAACATAAGTTCATTGTTATTGATTATTTATGCCAAAAATAAATTAAGAGACACACCCCAAGATATTTTCCTATCTATTATATCGACTTAAAGTTACAATAAAATTTAGTAATCATCATTAATTAATAGTAATACTCTTCCAAACATTTCCATAAAGAAGGTGAAGATAGATTAAGGGAGTTTTAAATTCTTTGCTATCATAAATAATGCATGCTTAGATATTTTATATTCATTTTTAGTCAATTATTTTTCAGAATTTGATTTGTGTTGGGTACAGATTCTAAGAAACAAACAAAAATAAGTTTTGCCTACATAGGCAAGACTAAAGAAGTAGCATGCAGCTTCTTGACAGGACGCCATGAGATGAGGAAGGTTAAATCCTCAAGAAATCATTGATTATTATCATGGCCACCATCATCATCATCATCATTAATCAACACAACTAATTTACATAAACATTACACTTACAGGCCAGGTCCCACTCGGTGAGAGATTAAACTACCTGGTCAGAAAAATTTGCCTAACTCATTCTGTATATAAACACCATTGCTATGAACCTAAATGCTACCTCCACATCTCTCACCTTTGCTTTTGCCTTTGCCTTTTTGTGATTTAGAAACTCTCCTTCATTCAATGTCATCCACTCTTTCTATTTCGTTCCATTGAAATATTCACTTTACTCGTCGTTGTTATTTGTTGTTCAGGTGCTTTCAGTTTTAAGAAATGGGTGACAAGTCAGCTATCACTCTTGACGGGATCAAGAACGAGACTGTTGATTTGGTATGAACTTCCATCTTTTTGCTTCAACTCTGTGTTTTTATTTTCTTGTATTAGTCACATAGTCGAGTAAAAATGTTACCTTTGTTTCAAAGAGACGATATCCACTAAAAGTTTGCTTCTTTCCCTTTCTTTATTTACTTTTTCAATGTTTCTTCAACTTTTTCTCACCATCCAAACATACCCATCTCAGTTTTGACTCTCACATTAAATCTTACCAGGTGAACTGTTTATAGGCACGAGTCACAAGTCAACCGTTTCACGAGTTATTTAATTTATGTCCGTATTTTTTAAAAATTTAGAACAAATTATTAACTTATAAAAATATATATATTTTTTAGTGTTAACTAACGATAATAATCTATATTCTGGATTAGGAATATTCATAATATTAGTATCGCACAATAAGGAACAGACATTTATCATCTGAATAGAAATATTTTTTATTCTCTTCTGGGTATACAAAAAATCTTGAAATGAAATTATAGAAATTAATTTATTTTTTTATTCGGCTACCAACATAAAATTATGATAAGTAACGTGTTGAAGAGAAGAGTAAATGAATTTGACAGTTTAAAGGAGAAATAATTATCATAAAAATTGTAGTATCACAAAAATGACATAAATGAATGTGGGTTTCCTGATAATTAATTGGTTTGCAGGAGAAAATTCCGATCGACGAAGTGTTTGAACAGTTGAAATGTACCCGGGAAGGTTTATCCTCCGAGGAGGGGAACAACAGAATTCAAATATTTGGCCCCAACAAACTAGAAGAAAAAAAGGAAAGCAAAATTCTCAAATTTTTGGGGTTCATGTGGAATCCGCTCTCATGGGTTATGGAATCCGCTGCTATAATGGCCATTGCGTTAGCTAATGGCAGCGGCCAGCCCCCGGATTGGCAAGACTTTGTTGGTATTGTTGGCTTGCTGGTCATCAACTCCACAATTAGTTTCATAGAAGAAAACAATGCTGGTAATGCTGCTGCCGCTCTCATGGCTGGTCTCGCCCCTAAAACTAAGGTTTGAAAGTTAACTATTTTGCTGCAGTAACTATTTTTTATGTGCGTAGAGTTTGTTACTGATTTTTTTTTTTTTTTTTTTTTTCTTTGTTAAATGGCATTCAGGTTCTTAGAGATGGAAAATGGAGTGAACAAGAGGCTGCGGTTCTGGTTCCAGGAGATATTATCAGCATTAAATTGGGAGATATCATCCCTGCTGATGCGCGTCTTCTTGAGGGTGATCCGTTGAAGGTGGATCAATCTGCACTCACTGGAGAATCACTTCCTGTGACCAAGAATCCTGGGGATGAAATTTTCTCTGGTTCAACCTGCAAACAAGGTGAAATCGAGGCTGTGGTTATTGCAACCGGTGTTCACACCTTTTTCGGAAAGGCTGCACATCTTGTGGACAGTACCAACCAAGTTGGTCACTTTCAGAAGGTGCTTACTGCCATTGGAAACTTCTGTATTTGTTCGATTGCGATTGGGATGGTGGTTGAGATCATCGTCATGTATCCAATTCAACACCGCAAGTATAGAAATGGAATTGACAATCTATTGGTACTCTTGATTGGGGGCATTCCAATTGCTATGCCTACAGTTTTGTCTGTGACAATGGCTATTGGTTCTCACAAGCTGGCTCAGCAAGGCGCCATCACCAAGCGTATGACTGCCATCGAAGAAATGGCCGGTATGGATGTGCTATGTAGTGACAAGACAGGGACACTGACTCTCAACAAGCTCAGTGTTGACAGAAACTTGGTTGAGGTGTTCGCAAAGGGCGTGGAAAAAGATCATGTGCTCCTGCTTGCAGCCAGGGCTTCTAGAATTGAAAATCAAGATGCCATTGATTGTGCCATTGTTGGAATGCTTGCTGATCCGAAGGAGGCTCGGGCCAATGTTAGAGAGGTGCATTTCTTTCCATTCAATCCTGTGGACAAGAGGACTGCTCTGACATATATTGACTCTGATGGCAACTGGCATAGAGCAAGCAAAGGTGCCCCTGAGCAGATCTTGAACCTTTGCAATGCCAGAGAAGATGTTAGAAAGAAAGCGCATGCTATTATTGATAAGTTTGCTGAACGTGGGCTTCGGTCATTAGCTGTAGCAAGACAGGTGTCAATTTAGCAACATATGTCAGTCATTACTTCATTAATTTGCGCCTTTGAAAATGGGAACTGCTCAACACCTTGTCTTCTTGGTTGCAGGAAGTGCCAGAGAAAAGGAAAGAAAGTCCTGGAGCACCATGGCAATTCGTCGGTTTGCTGCCACTCTTTGATCCTCCAAGGCATGATAGTGGTGAAACCATCCGCCAGGCTCTTAATCTCGGCGTGAATGTCAAGATGATTACTGGTAAGACGTTATTCTTTTATACATCCTGCGAAATCTGTTATTAACTTCTTTCTATCGATGTTCACTCGATTTGTTGACGATGTTCAGGTGATCAACTTGCAATTGCTAAGGAGACTGGCCGAAGACTTGGGATGGGAACAAACATGTACCCTTCGGCTTCTTTACTTGGCCAAGAAAAGGATTCAAACATAGCCGCCCTTCCTGTTGAAGAGTTGATTGAGACTGCTGATGGGTTCGCTGGCGTGTTTCCAGAGCACAAATATGAAATTGTGAGGAAGTTGCAGGAGATGAAGCACATTTGTGGAATGACTGGAGATGGTGTCAATGACGCTCCTGCGCTGAAGAAGGCCGATATTGGTATTGCTGTTGCTGATGCTACTGATGCTGCAAGAGGGGCTTCTGATATCGTACTCACAGAGCCCGGATTGAGTGTTATTGTCCATGCTGTGCTGACTAGCAGAGCGATTTTCCAGAGGATGAAGAATTACACAGTCAGATTCTCTCTTCTTTTCTTCTAAATTATGTTCATGAGTCTTCGCTTATTTGGTTTCCTTCTTTTGTTATTTTTGCAGATCTATGCAGTCTCAATCACAATTCGTATTGTGGTAAGTACATGGTGGTGGTTTAGTTATACAGACTTCGTCAAATAAAAAAACAAGGCATATTGATTTTTCAATTTTTTCTCTTATTCTGCAGTTTGGTTTCCTGTTTATTGCTTTGATATGGAAGTTTGACTTTTCTCCATTCATGGTTTTGATTATTGCCATTCTAAATGATGGTAAGTCTTAAATATCTTTACATTCTTTCTGTTATTTTATGCTCTTCCAAAGCATGATCTTTCGAGTTTCGAGACCCTGATTTTTACATCCTTTAGGCACAATTATGACAATCTCAAAGGATAGGGTGAAGCCATCTCCTATGCCAGATAGCTGGAGACTCAAGGAGATTTTTGCTACCGGAATTTGTTTCGGAAGTTATTTGGCATTGATGACTGTTATATTCTTCTGGGCTATGCATGATACTCATTTCTTCCCGGTAAGAGAGACGATGTTTCGATTTGATATCACATTCTTTCAATCAAATATTCCAAACTGACTTTTCAATTTGATTCAATTGATAACTTCTTTCCTCTCAAATGCAGGACACATTTGGGGTGAGAGATATAAGTGGTGACGATAATCAAATGATGGCTGCATTGTATCTACAAGTGAGTATTGTGAGCCAGGCTTTAATTTTTGTGACTCGCTCGCGCAGCTGGTCCTATGCTGAACGCCCTGGACTTCTACTGATGTGTGCTTTTGTGATTGCGCAATTGGTAAGAATTTCTACCTTATATATACTTTTTTTAGAACACATCTTCCGGTTCCCCAAATGCCTAATCACTTTGATCTGTTTTCAGGTAGCAACTCTGATAGCTGTATATGCGGATTGGGGTTTTGCTAGAATTAAAGGTTTTGGTTGGGGATGGGCTGGCGTCGTCTGGATTTATAGTGTTATCTTCTATATCCCACTTGACTTTATGAAGTTTGCCATCCGTTACCTATTGGCCGGGAAGGCCTGGAGCAACTTGCTCGAGAACAAGGTATTTTTTTCGGATTTTTGTCTTGGACATTGGTAATTTTCAAAACCAGAAATGTTTCTATAGTTTAATGACCATTGTTACATGTTTTCCAAGTAACAGACTGCCTTCACTACCAAGAAAGATTATGGAAAGGGAGAAAGGGAAGCTCAATGGGCTATTGCTCAAAGAACCCTCCATGGACTTCACCCACCAGAACCCACTAATCTCTTCCCTGAAAAGGGTAACTACAGAGAGCTGTCTGAGATTGCAGAGCAGGCTAAAAGACGCGCTGAAGTTGCAAGGTACAACACCAATGAAATTAATGTTCCTATGAACCAATCCTTTCTAGATAAGTTTATTCTTTTCAAAGCAAATCATGAGAGAATCAACAACGTTTTCGCTTTGTGTTTGTAGGCTTCGGGAGCTGCACACGCTCAAGGGTCACGTGGAGTCAGTTGTGAAGCTGAAGGGGCTGGACATCGAAACGATTCAGCAGCATTACACGGTGTGAGAAGAAAGCTTTCTTGAGAGTTATAAAAGGGATTTGTTCAAAGACAAACCCTGTTTAAGAGAAAGTCTATGTAAGTAGTAATTAAAAAGTATGAAGATAAGGAGAGCTTTTTATGTGTTATAATTCTCCTGGTCTATTTGCTTTTCCTTTCTATGTATTTCAATGTCATAAGAAAGGACTATTTGCTGCGATAAAAGAGGCAATGTAATGCCCACGTGTTATATATATAAGTTCTCTAGCATCAATATAATTTTCCTTTTCTTTATTCTTTTCTCCTGTTTTACTGTTCATTTTGGTTTCATAGACTCTTGAAATTTGATAACTTAAAACTCTCATGAGGGTAAGGAATTAATAGCCATTGTAAATTGGAGCATGATTCCATTTGGATTTAAGAAAAACGTGGTTTGAATATAACCATTTGAAAATTGGTGGATGGAGTTAGGCCAGCAACCACGTGGAACAGGCTCTCGTAGCGGACAGGACGATTTGGGGAGGGTTGCTACCTATGAGCAAGCGAAGTCACCTAGCTAGGAAAATGGGTCGCCATGTGCATCGGCTTCGAAACCGTAGTGAAAGGTTAGGATCCTAATCTATTAATTATGAGATTGATTGATGATTATTAACCTTTAGGCTCGTTCCCAAGCTAATTTTAAATATAGATTCTACCCAGTGGGTTTTTAACGAAATCTATCTTGAGAGAATTGTTATGACAATTAACTAAGCATTGCAGATTAGCATAAGCAATAAGAGTTCTGCTAACATACACTATGACAATAAAGAATGCATGATTTTAGAGATGGAAAATGGAGTGAACAAGAGGCTGCGGTTCTGGTTCCAGGAGATATTATCAGCATTAAATTGGGAGATATCATCCCTGCTGATGCGCGTCTTCTTGAGGGTGATCCGTTGAAGGTGGATCAATCTGCACTCACTGGAGAATCACTTCCTGTGACCAAGAATCCTGGGGATGAAATTTTCTCTGGTTCAACATGCAAACAAGGTGAAATCGAGGCTGTGGTTATTGCAACCGGTGTTCACACCTTTTTCGGAAAGGCTGCACATCTTGTGGACAGTACCAACCAAGTTGGTCACTTTCAGAAGGTGCTTACTGCCATTGGAAACTTCTGTATTTGTTCGATTGCGATTGGGATGGTGGTTGAGATCATCGTCATGTATCCAATTCAACACCGCAAGTATAGAAATGGAATTGACAATCTATTGGTACTCTTGATTGGGGGCATTCCAATTGCTATGCCTACAGTTTTGTCTGTGACAATGGCTATTGGTTCTCACAAGCTGGCTCAGCAAGGCGCCATCACCAAGCGTATGACTGCCATCGAAGAAATGGCCGGTATGGATGTGCTATGTAGTGACAAGACAGGGACACTGACTCTCAACAAGCTCAGTGTTGACAGAAACTTGGTTGAGGTGTTCGCAAAGGGCGTGGAAAAAGATCATGTGCTCCTGCTTGCAGCCAGGGCTTCTAGAATTGAAAATCAAGATGCCATTGATTGTGCCATTGTTGGAATGCTTGCTGATCCGAAGGAGGCTCGGGCCAATGTTAGAGAGGTGCATTTCTTTCCATTCAATCCTGTGGACAAGAGGACTGCTCTGACATATATTGACTCTGATGGCAACTGGCATAGAGCAAGCAAAGGTGCCCCTGAGCAGATCTTGAACCTTTGCAATGCCAGAGAAGATGTTAGAAAGAAAGCGCATGCTATTATTGATAAGTTTGCTGAACGTGGGCTTCGGTCATTAGCTGTAGCAAGACAGGTGTCAATTTAGCAACATATGTCAGTCATTACTTCATTAATTTGCGCCTTTGAAAATGGGAACTGCTCAACACCTTGTCTTCTTGGTTGCAGGAAGTGCCAGAGAAAAGGAAAGAAAGTCCTGGAGCACCATGGCAATTCGTCGGTTTGCTGCCACTCTTTGATCCTCCAAGGCATGATAGTGGTGAAACCATCCGCCAGGCTCTTAATCTCGGCGTGAATGTCAAGATGATTACTGGTAAGACGTTATTCTTTTATACATCCTGCGAAATCTGTTATTAACTTCTTTCTATCGATGTTCACTCGATTTGTTGACGATGTTCAGGTGATCAACTTGCAATTGCTAAGGAGACTGGCCGAAGACTTGGGATGGGAACAAACATGTACCCTTCGGCTTCTTTACTTGGCCAAGAAAAGGATTCAAACATAGCCGCCCTTCCTGTTGAAGAGTTGATTGAGACTGCTGATGGGTTCGCTGGCGTGTTTCCAGAGCACAAATATGAAATTGTGAGGAAGTTGCAGGAGATGAAGCACATTTGTGGAATGACTGGAGATGGTGTCAATGACGCTCCTGCGCTGAAGAAGGCCGATATTGGTATTGCTGTTGCTGATGCTACTGATGCTGCAAGAGGGGCTTCTGATATCGTACTCACAGAGCCCGGATTGAGTGTTATTGTCCATGCTGTGCTGACTAGCAGAGCGATTTTCCAGAGGATGAAGAATTACACAGTCAGATTCTCTCTTCTTTTCTTCTAAATTATGTTCATGAGTCTTCGCTTATTTGGTTTCCTTCTTTTGTTATTTTTGCAGATCTATGCAGTCTCAATCACAATTCGTATTGTGGTAAGTACATGGTGGTGGTTTAGTTATACAGACTTCGTCAAATAAAAAAACAAGGCATATTGATTTTTCAATTTTTTCTCTTATTCTGCAGTTTGGTTTCCTGTTTATTGCTTTGATATGGAAGTTTGACTTTTCTCCATTCATGGTTTTGATTATTGCCATTCTAAATGATGGTAAGTCTTAAATATCTTTACATTCTTTCTGTTATTTTATGCTCTTCCAAAGCATGATCTTTCGAGTTTCGAGACCCTGATTTTTACATCCTTTAGGCACAATTATGACAATCTCAAAGGATAGGGTGAAGCCATCTCCTATGCCAGATAGCTGGAGACTCAAGGAGATTTTTGCTACCGGAATTTGTTTCGGAAGTTATTTGGCATTGATGACTGTTATATTCTTCTGGGCTATGCATGATACTCATTTCTTCCCGGTAAGAGAGACGATGTTTCGATTTGATATCACATTCTTTCAATGAAATATTCAAAACTGACTTTTCAATTTGATTCAACTGGCAACTTCTTTCCTCACAAATGCAGGACACATTTGGGGTGAGAGATATAAGTGGTGACGATAATCAAATGATGGCTGCATTGTATCTACAAGTGAGTATTGTGAGCCAGGCTTTAATTTTTGTGACTCGCTCGCGCAGCTGGTCCTATGCTGAACGCCCTGGACTTCTACTGATGTGTGCTTTTGTGATTGCGCAATTGGTAAGAATTTCTACCTTATATATACTTTTTTTAGAACACATCTTCCGGTTCCCCAAATGCCTAATCACTTTGATCTGTTTTCAGGTAGCAACTCTGATAGCTGTATATGCGGATTGGGGTTTTGCTAGAATTAAAGGTTTTGGTTGGGGATGGGCTGGCGTCGTCTGGATTTATAGTGTTATCTTCTATATACCACTTGACTTTATGAAGTTTGCCATCCGTTACCTCTTGGCCGGGAAGGCCTGGAGCAACTTGCTCGAGAACAAGGTATTTTTTTCGGATTTTTGTCTTGGACATTGGTAATTTTCAAAACCAGAAATGTTTCTATAGTTTAATGACCATTGTTACTTGTTTTCCAAGTAACAGACTGCCTTCACTACCAAGAAAGATTATGGAAAGGGAGAAAGGGAAGCTCAATGGGCTATTGCTCAAAGAACCCTCCATGGACTTCACCCACCAGAACCCACTAATCTCTTCCCTGAAAAGGGTAACTACAGAGAGCTGTCTGAGATTGCAGAGCAGGCTAAAAGACGCGCTGAAGTTGCAAGGTACAACACCAATGAAATTAATGTTCCTATGAACCAATCCTTTCTAGATAAGTTTATTCTTTTCAAAGCAAATCATGAGAGAATCAACAACGTTTTCGCTTTGTGTTTGTAGGCTTCGGGAGCTGCACACGCTCAAGGGTCACGTGGAGTCAGTTGTGAAGCTGAAGGGGCTGGACATCGAAACGATTCAGCAGCATTACACGGTGTGAGAAGAAAGCTTTCTTGAGAGTTATAAAAGGGATTTGTTCAAAGACAAACCCTGTTTAAGAGAAAGTCTATGTAAGTAGTAATTAAAAAGTATGAAGATAAGGAGAGCTTTTTATGTGTTATAATTCTCCTGGTCTATTTGCTTTTCCTTTCTATGTATTTCAATGTCATAAGAAAGGACTATTTGCTGCGATAAAAGAGGCAATGTAATGCCCACGTGTTATATATATAAGTTCTCTAGCATCAATATAATTTTCCTTTTCTTTATTCTTTTCTCCTGTTTTACTGTTCATTTTGGTTTCATAGACTCTTGAAATTTGATAACTTAAAACTCTCATGAGGGTAAGGAATTAATAGCCATTGTAAATTGGAGCATGATTCCATTTGGATTTAAGAAAAACGTGGTTTGAATATAACCATTTGAAAATTGGTGGATGGAGTTAGGCCAGCAACCACGTGGAACAGGCTCTCGTAGCGGACAGGACGATTTGGGGAGGGTTGCTACCTATGAGCAAGCGAAGTCACCTAGCTAGGAAAATGGGTCGCCATGTGCATCGGCTTCGAAACCGTAGTGAAAGGTTAGGATCCTAATCTATTAATTATGAGATTGATTGATGATTATTAACCTTTAGGCTCGTTCCCAAGCTAATTTTAAATATAGATTCTACCCAGTGGGTTTTTAACGAAATCTATCTTGAGAGAATTGTTATGACAATTAACTAAGCATTGCAGATTAGCATAAGCAATAAGAGTTCTGCTAACATACACTATGACAATAAAGAATGCATGATTAAGTTGAGCATAAACAAATTAGCATAAACATCGGCGTTGCTCAAAACATTGATACAATCTAACATTCTACATTATGACAAAGCAATGCCAATTGAGCTGAGCAACTGAGGTAAGCTTGATAGTATGACACTTAACAAAGCAATGCCAATTGAGCTGAGCAACTAAGCTAAGCTAATCAAGCTTAGCATAAGCATAATGATCTGCTGTGTTATAATCACTCACAGAAAGAATCAACCAAATAACAACAGATCAAGAACAAGAATCACAATAAACACACATAAGAACAACCAGATTTACCGTGGTTCACTTGCTCTATATTTGAGCAAGCTACGTCCATGTTGAACTCGGGAATCACACGAGCTCGCTGCACTAAATCACTGTCAAGATTACAGATTACACACAGCAACACAAATCCCTCAAAACCCCTTTTTCAACCCGTAACTCACCTTAGAGATTACACCCTTCGAATCCCTATATACAGCGTATACAATACACCCAGAATGACCTGACCTAGCCACTCAATCAACAAGTTACAAGATTCACTCAACCCAAATTGAAAACACTAAAGACTCAAAATGATGTTTAACGAAGAAGAGAGAGATTTGCAAAAATGGATGAATGCGTAAACTGCCAAATAACTTTGCTTTTATATGGTTGACATTAGGGTTAAATTCCAGCCGTTAGATCTTCTTTTCATCAACGCTCAGGATTGTTTCTTCAGTTTGAATCAAAACAACGTCGTTCCATTTAAGTGCAAATACGACAGCGTTTCAAGCCATCGTCCAACAATCTCCACCTTGATGGGTTGAAAAACAGCCCCTGTGCTAGTGAAGCTTGCCTTTAGTGAGTCCTTCATAGTTCTCTTGTTACTGTTGCTTACTGAATGGACAGTAGGTTCAAGCAATGCTTGAACTTAGCAATTGTAACAATCTTCGTACCCATGTCTGCTGTATTGTGCTCAGTAGGAACCTTATTGAGTGATATCTCCTCCCTAGTGATCAGATCTCTCATAAAGTGATAGCGAACATCTATGTGTTTGGTTTGCTTATAGTACACTGGATTCTTACTCAGATTTATTGCACTTTGACTGTCTGAAAAAATGGTTGGCCTCAGTTCAGACAGGTTTGCTTCACTCAGGATCCCTTTGAGCTACATTGCCTTTTTAAATACATCAGCTACAGCCACATATTCAGCCTCGGTTGTTGATAGTGCAACTATAGGCTGTAATTAGGACTTCCAGCTGATGCAGTTGCCCCCCAAGGTAAAGTAATATGCAGTGGTTGACTTCCTATTATCCTTGTCACCTGCAAAATCAAAGTCTACAAAACCATCCAACTCAAGTGAGGCAGATCTTTTACAGTATTCTAGTCCCACATTTAAAGATCCACTAACATATTTGAGTACCCATTTCAGGGCTGTCCAATGTTCCATACTAGGATTGGATATGAATCTACTCAGCAATGATATCACAAATGATAGGTTAGGCCTAGTGCTAATCATAGCATACATCAAGGATCCAATCACATTAGCATGGGGTATGGTCTCCATTCTAATCAACTCAGCATCAATATTAGGGCATTAAGCCTTGCTTAATGTGAAGTGGTTTGCTAAAGGCATTGAGACAGTTTTGGACCCTAACATTCCAAATTTTTCTACTAACTTATGCAGATATGAACACTGGTGAATTTTCAGTTTGCATTTACTTCTGTTTCTATCAATTTGCATGCCTAAAATCTTCCTAGCATCCCCTAGGTCTTTCATTTCAAATTCAACATTCAGTTTATTCTTTAACTCACATATCAGAGGCTTTGATTTGCTTATTAGTAACATATCATCTACATACAGCAGTAAGTAAATATGTATTTCATCTAAAACAGCAAAGTAGAAGCAACTGTCGTACTTACTCCTAGTGAATCTTATACTTTCTATAAAGTTGTCAAACCTCTTATACCATTGCCTAGGGGATTGCTTTAAACCATATAAGGATTTCAACAGTAGGCAGACATGATTAGGGGCCCTTTTATCTATGAAACCTAAGGGTTGGCTCATGTAGATCTCTTCCTCAAGATCTCCATGTAGAAATGTAGTTGTGACATCTAATTGTTCAAGCGGTGAGCTACTATGGACAACATAAGCCTTATGGTTTTGTACTTAACTACTGGGGAAAATACTTCATTGAAGTCTATTCCCTCTCTTTGGGTGAAACCCTTGGCTACAAGTCTAGCCTTATACCTGAGGGGATCCTTATCAGTGATACCTTCCTTTAGTTTGAAAAACCACTTGCATTGTACAAGTTTCTGATCCTTAGGCTTTGGTACAAGCTTCCAAGTTCTATTCACATCCAAGAATTTCATTTCAGCTTCCATTGCAGCCTTCCATTAGTCCCTTTCTTTTGTCTGCATGGCTTCCTCATAAGTTTCTGGTTCTCTTCTTTGTACTTCAACACCTGCAAGGAGGGCAATGCATATTAGATCAGCATAGGAATATCTCATGGGTGCCCTTACCTGTCTTCTGGTTCTGTCTCTTGCAAGCTAGTAGTCTTGCAAGTGTTCAGGTTGAATCTTAGTGTCATCTGCTGTTTTTATCTCATCCTCATGTTTTGGATCAGTTTGTCCAGTTTCTCCTCCATATTCAGTAACAGCTTCAGTTTCTTGGCTGGTTTGAGTTTGGACAGGAAGCTCCACCTCAATTGGTGTAACTTCAGGTTGGGTGAAGGGATCATCTGTACTTGACATGGGGTCAGTTTTGGTTCTAGTTTCCTTACAAGGAAATACTCCCTCATTGAATATCACATCTCTGCTCACAATGATTCTAACCCCTGGAGTATCTCTATCCCAGAGTCTATAACCTTTGGTCCCTTCTTGATACCCCAAGAATATGCACTTGGTTGACCTTGGTTCCAATTTTCCTTCTGTGGTGTATGCATAAGCTGCACACCCAAAAACTCTCAAGTGGCTTAAAGCTGGGACTCTACCAGTCCACATTTCCTCAGGGCTTTTTAAGTTTATTGCATTAGCTGGGCTTCTATTTACCAGGTATGCAACTGTTGTAAGAGCTTCTCCCCAAAAGGAGGTGGGGAGTTTGGAGGTTATTAACAGGCACCTAACCTTATTAAGGAGGGTTCTATTCATTCGTTCTGCCACTCCATTCTGTTGTGGGGTATAGGTTACTGTCCTATGTCTTAAAACCCCTTGGTCACTATAAAACTTATCAAATTCTTGATTATAGAATTCCAGCACAGAGCCTGATCTTTGGATTTCAATAAGTACACCCACACCTTGCGGCTGTAGTCATCCACCAGAGACATAAAGTAGTTATTCCCTCCATAAGACTTCACTTTTCCAAGTCCCCAAAGGTCAGAGTGAATGTATTCTAGTGATCTAGTGGCTAGGTGTGTCCCTTTGGTGAAACTATTTCTATGTTGTTTCCTTAAAACACAATTCTCACAGAATTCGAGAGATGTGGTCTTGTCCTTACCAAACTACCCTTTATGCTTCAGAATGTCCATGCCTCTTTGACTCATGTGGCCTAATCTAAGATGCCACTTTTCTGTATTGGACAAGTTAGTAGAAGTAATCACAGAATTAAAGCAGTTTTGGGAATGATTCCCACAAAGAATATAAAGGTCATTTCTTTTCTCTCCTTTCAGTATCAAGTTATTATCTCTATATATGTTCAAGCATCCATGTTCTGCTTTATAACAACATCCTGATTCATCTAAGGTGCCAAGGGATATCAAATTTCTTTTAAGTTCTGATATGTATATAACCCTAGTTAGTTTTACCACTTTTCCAGTGTTAACCCTTAGAGTCACTGTGCCTATCCCTCTTACTCTGCATGCATTATTGTTTCCCATGTAAACAGTTTCATTTTCAACATTTTTAAATTCCTGGAACTAGACTCTCCTAGGACTCATGTGAAAGGAACAGCCTGAGTCCAGCACCCACTCTTCACCAGTGTCATTCATTGACACAGTAAGTACTTCAGGTTCCTCTACCAGGTTTCTAGTAGTGGTTAGGTTATTCTTATTATTCCCCTGTTTTTGCTTTTTAATCCACTCAAAACAGTTCTTTTTAATATGCCCAGTTTTATTACAAAAGAAACATTTTCTGGACTCTCCTCTATGCTTGTTACTGCCCTTCCATTTTTTCTTATTTCTAGCCCCCTGATTATTTTGATTTCCCTTACCAGTTTGACTAGGTTCTGGTCTACTCTTAACAAACAGATTTGTGCCATTCTGTTTCTGGCTTTTCAATTCTAATTCTCTAGCCCTAAGTCCTGCTGTTATTAAGTCAAGATTTGGTATAGTACCCGAGTACTGTAGGGCATTCTTGACTACCTGGTAGTCATAAGTCAGGGAATTCAATAGAATCATGGCTAGGCTGGTTTCTCCTAAGGCTTGATCTGTCCCTTTTAGGACCAAGGTCATTTTCAAAAACTCGTCTAGGTTTTCATCCATA